GAGACGTCCTCTATTTTGTATATATAAGACCGGCGAGAAGTGACGGGAGATAGATAGATTGATAAATAATTGCAGACAGACACAGACGGACAAATGAGTCAAGCGCGGTAATAAAGTGTGTGAATCCTTGTGAATTATAGCGTGTGTTTAAGTTAAATTGACTGTGGAAATTAAGTGTATTACAAAGCTGTATTGAGAGGGAATAAACTTGTTTTAGTTAAGAAAGGACTTGTGTCGCTGAAGTTTCATCGGAAATAAATTATACGAAAATTAACAAACGAACAGAGACGTAACAATATTTATGATCGTAAAGTGATGGACTGTCTGGTATCTAATATTTGGAGGATCGTTCCCGGGGTATTCAGCCACTGTGAATGAGTTACAGAAAGTAATGATACCATTTTATCATTACCAGTGTTGTTGTTTTTTATGTTTAAATGTAAGTAACAATGGTTTGAATAAAGATAACACTTTTTATGTGAGAAAGAAAACAGACAGACGCCGTTTGTTTGCGTCAGAGAAAAAAAATATATATATTTATTTATTTATCAATTGAAAATACAGTAATAGCTCTGAATTTTAATTTTCGGGATGCCACTGTTACAGGTTGCAATAAGAATAGGTCAGAGACTATATTTGAAAAAGTTGTAAATATAGTAAGATGTATTTATGTATAGTTAGGGTTCCATACCGGTTATTAAAATTTACTGATTTCAGCTGACAAGAGTTAATAAAATGTTTTATTGTTGTTTCCTTAAAAAAAAAAAAAAATATGTACACAGAGAATTGATAAAAATCTTATTTTGAAAATCACAATAAAATACTAAAGTAGTTTTAATAAATACAATCACACTTGAACGTTAATAATCAGGCCATACGAATTTTATTGTTAGAGAAAAATTGTTTTGTCGCGTTTAGTTACCAAGTTGCTAAGACCAATAAGTATATACAACGACCTTTGTTTTTTACTCTGTTTTCTAACAGTATGATTGCAATACAAAATTTCAACAGTATTTTTTTTACTTGTATTATGAACGAAAGAAGCGTAGTTTACAAAAAAAATATATATCCGGTTTTCTTTCCTTTCACCCTATCGTTTATGCGACAAATCATTGTTGCAAACTGCTTACAAACACTGAAAAATGACGCGACTTTTAATATAAAGACTTATTCACACTGGACGCGAGCGAATAATTTAGAAGAACTGCAGTCAAATTGGGGTGTATTCATGCCAGCTGCGAGCGATGTCGTTTTTAGAAAGTTTTACGTATATACATAGCTAAAATATGACCTGTCCCTCTTTTTCTTTCTCGTTGCGCGACTCGTCGAAGGAACTGACAAATTAAAATAACCCGGAGTATAATAATAATAACAATAAAGATTGTGATTATGTAACGCTTAACAACAACAACGTATTTATACTTAAAAATACTTTGAAACACTAATAAATAAAACGGATCAAAGAAGGAATTTGTACAGAAATACAGTTGATTCTTTATACAACTTCCCTCGTCCCCCATTCGAACAAATATTCTTCCTTTTTACGCAAAACAATACAAAATATCTTTGTGAAATAATACATAACTTCTAAGAAGCATATGTTTAACAATAAATAAACGTTCCTCATTTAGTAATATGTTAAGTAAAACTGTCATGCAGGAAGAGTTTTAAGATAATAAGTTTACTAAATCAACATTTATTAATATTAATATGACTGACGAGTATTTCGGCATTATCAGTAAGATCAATTTATTTTACATCCAATAGTTTGACGCATGCCGATATGTACTTAAAATTAGGCTTAGTTTGTTTTCTTGGTTTTCACCAAATTCTTTGTTTCATGGAGATCGTATAATATTTGTGTTTTGATAACTATTCTGTGTTTGTGAATGAGGTTCTGCTTTCGTTTTTCGAATTAGACAGACACTTGTATTTCTAACTTTATTGTTGATACTATCGAAATATTTAATTAGGTGTTTACCTTGGCGAAAGTTACACCCGATTCTTTGCTAGACAGCTAGAAACAACAATATCATCGAAACAACTACTTGAACAAAATACACGCGAAGGTCTCAATTTCCTTATAGAAAAATAATGCTAAAGGACACTAAACAATACTAAATAATTATGATAAATAACATTAAATAATATTAAAGCCTACACTCAGTAGATGTTGTTTTGGAAGAAGAAGTTTTTGAGAAGTTAAGTGGTAGGAAGTACTTATATCCTGAAGTCCTTTCACATTCAGAAATTCGTTAAATACGGTTTGTTTTTCACATTCAGTAATCCGTTAAATACGGTTTGTTTATAAATATAACGTGACATTTATATTTTGTCAGTGAGTTCGCATATTTTGGGCACGTGTTAAAACCTGGTTACTATCTATATTGGCTGATATGTTTTTACGAATTTTTTAGGACAAAACAGACAGAACATTGGGCAAAATTCATATTTTTGTAAACATGGCTAAAATATTTTGGGCCCAAGAAATAAAACACAAAGTGAAATTCAACTTGTTTACAATACATGCGTGTTTTTAGGCACAAAAAGTTAATATATAAAGTTTAATTTCGCATAACGTTATTAAAAGTCAACACTTTAGGTAAAATCTTACTTTGCCGCAACATTACCTGATATTTGTAAGCGAATACGATGACACAGAGCAACAGTTATACATTCTATATTACGTTTAGTACTGTTAGACAAATTATTTGATTTAAACAAATACGCATGTAGTTTGTTTTAAATAGCTATTTTATCCTTTGATTATAAAGATGTCATCTTACACTACAAAAATTAAACATTCAAGGTCTAAGGTCCCATTAACGTATATTTTTATTACTAGTTATCATGAAATAAAATATATAAGAGTGGGCATGAAAAAGAACCCGGATTGTCGTCATGGGAATAATTGAAGTCTACTTTAGTTTCTAAGAAACAAATGATTTTTTCATAACTTCTGCTTCACTTGCAAACTATCTAGTTACTTGAAACATGTGCACATTGTAACAGCTGATTAAATATACTTTATAGTTGCTAGGAAACATACAATTTTACATAGTAACAGCTGCTTAACGTGAAGGCTGTTTTAGTTGCTAAGAGGTATACAGGAATACACTGAATAATATTTCGCATTGAAGTCTCTCACAATGAATAAGTCAAATGTACCGAATATATAACTCACAGTCTCTGATACACAGGAACTAACGCTACTATAGGCTGTCACTGGACATGACGTAAACATGAGGTATACGTAAATCAACTGTCATGGCAACGGCAACAATGGAAATTTTCTAACGGATTTCTTTATGATAACATTTCACGCCACCATTAGTCATATTTATTCTTTGTAAGTTTAATAGTGAATATCATATCGTCAACAGTTAACAACTTTCATTTAAACATACAACACCAGCATTAATTACCTATTTGTAGCACCCTGAATGAGAGCTTCTTTTTGTGAATAATCTGGTGATAATCAATCGAGTGCCAGACAACTGTTGACGAGAGAGTCAAATGCTAGGAATGCCAACTAACAAAAGAAAAAACAAGTTCACAGGCGATATAATAAACTAAAATTCTGGTAACCTGTATATTTTGTATTAAAATAGAAAGTATCGTAATTGGGCTAAAATTCACAAAAAACAGGGAACTATTATATTTTCTAGATATGCGCATATGACAAGTAAAGGAAGAGAAGTTTCCTCGTGCTTGACTTGTGACTTAGAATTAGATTTTAAACTATTTTACTTGCCTTTAATAACAGAAACACAACCTAAGACATAAGAGGCAAATGAGGACACAACAAATACAAAAACATTTGAATGTATAGAGTTTAAAAGGTTTTGTGGATTGTCTAGTGGCAGACTGTGACCTTGTAGGCAGAGAGTTCAGCCGGACATACAACGCACTAATTGTCCTGAAGAAGATGACATAAACAAAAAAAAAAAAATTCAAAAGAATTGTAACCTAACGGTTAAATATACAGAAATATTATTTAATTTTGCAATTTTGAAAGATAAGTTCCCCCTATTAGTGGTAAATGAAAAACAGAACAAGAGTCCGAGGCTAAATTTAAAAAAGCACGGTTGTAATCTTGGTTGGGGCAATAACCCGAAGAATGGATTTTCATCTGGAACGTTCTCTCTCTCTTTCTAATAGCGTCCCCGGGCCCATCTTAATAAAGCATCAGCCAATACATCGAGATGTACTTTCGTCTGAAAGAAAACAAACAAACAAACGTTAATACATCAATAATCCTAATAAAAATAGAACAAGTTAGTAAATGATATTGAAGTTTTATATTATTTCTATATATTGTTGCGACGTTGCTTATTTATGTGTTTATTTAGTTTTTTAACGTTAGGTCTTAAACCCATTTGTTTCACATATTTTATTTTCACTCGGTTTAAGTGTAACAACATAGAAGTATGTCACTCGCTTCACTGTGATGTATAAATGATTTGAAACTATTGCCGGTTTCTTCATTATGGTGTATAAACGATTTGAAACTGTTGCCGGTTTCTTCATTATGGTGTATAAACGATTTAAAACTGTTTTTATTTTCTTACTTTTCTCTTCTGCACGAAGTTTAAAAAAATCTCTGAATAATTTTTGAGTACAAAATAAAATTAAATAAGATAACCTAGGAATTAAAGTGTTCGTTTTAAAACTACTTCTTTCCGTTATTTTACTCGTTTTTCAATCAAATAAAATTGAAATTCTCTGAACGTACATTATTTATTTGATGTTTATCATTGGATTCCACAAATTAAAAGTTTCTCGTTAATATGTAATGATGAATGTTAAAATAATGGAAAGGATATTAGAGCAAAACTGATAATAATCTACTAATACGGATACTAAGCATCACGAAATAGCAATGGAGAATAAAGAATATAAGAGATTGTACATCGATAAGCACTTGTAGAACTACAAGAATCAACAATCGGATGTCATGTAACTATTAACACAACTACAAGAATCAACAATCGGATGTCATGTAACTATTAACACAACTACAAGAATCAACAATCAGATGTCATGTGATTACTTATACAAATATAAAAATCAACAACCGAATGTCATGTAAGTACTAACACAACGTTAAGAATCAACAACTGAATGTCATGTAACTACTTACACAACTATAAGATCTAACAACCGGATGTCATGTGACTACATATATAAATATAAGAATCAACAACCGAATGTCATGTAACTTCTCACACAACTATAAGAACTAACAACCGTAACTACTTACACAACTATAAAAATGAACAACCGGATGTGATGTAAGCAGTTACACAACTATAAGAATCAACAACCGGATGTAATGTAAGCAGTAACACAACAATAAGAATCAACAACCGGATGTGAAGTAAGCAGTAACACAACAATAAGAATCAACAACCGGAAGTGCTGGAATTCACAGTGTGGCGATTCGCATGAATTTGAAATTAAATTTAGTTCCTAGTAAAAAATCAACAACAACAAACAAAGAAAAAGAACATTGTGATTTTCTTTACCAGAACTATCGAAAATAACAAAGTAATGTTGATAGCTTGGATACTGTAGAAAAGTTAGTTGGTTTAAGATCACTGGCCGTTATTCATGAGCCCCAAATGATTTGTAAAATAAAGACATATATATATATATATATATAGCAACAGCACAAAAACGTAAAATAAACCAGTAACCATGGTTCTCATACGAGATTCAAAGTTGGGCGTGTCTGTTCCATACAAACGCAGCAGACAAGTTGCCACATTAAAATTAAATATTGACAATACTTGTTTTCTTAACTATGATACTTACATTTTTCAAAGTTAAAGACAGTTAAAACTCTAAACAACACAGGCAAACTTCGCCAAATGTTTTGCCTGCCTTGGAGTTATATATATATATATATATATATATATATATATAGAAGTTACTAACGTATCTGTTATTAGTAAGTTATTAATTACTTAACCTT